GATTTATTCGTGTACGCACCAGACGGAAAAACAAAAAATATCGTGTATCCACAAACACTCCAATAAATAAATAGAATTGAAACGACACTTTGAAATGTTTTCCCGATGAAAATGAATAATAATAATAAGTTTCAATAAAAATAATAAAATGTAAATTGAATTTTATCATAACGAGTTTGCTTGAATTTCCTTTCTTCTGAGATCGCAGCAATGCGCGACGGGTAAGCTAGTTTAATAATATATATAATTGGAGTCATGGGCGTCCGCAAAAATTTTTCTAGGAAACTGGCTCCTGTTTAGGCGTTACAGACGTGGAAAAAACCCGGAAAAGTCCACGTGGCCATCCTATCCGAGTAAGGCGCGAACCCACAGTGTTCAGGGAACGAAGACCGCTTGGCCACTGGTGGCCTTCTCCAGTTTGCCCCATCCGCGGATGTCCATCATCGGAGTCTAGCCAAACAACTTTACAATTTTGGATTTGCATTAAACACCTCGGACATCAAGATGGCCGAGGTGTTGAATGCGTCATTCTGTCGTTCTGGTGGATCCGCAATAGAATCCGGATGAGTAATCCAAGGAATTTTTCATGGGCGTTCTGTCTTGGATATGTAGGACCTCCCTCATCGTAGGCCTAGCCGAGCCCACGAAGAGTAAGGAAAAAGATCCTCTTAGTGCTCAAGGAAAAGTGTTTAAAACAAAATATGTATAAAATAGTTCACTATAACGTAAGACTGAATTTTTATGGTATCCATTTTTTATAAATTTAATAATGTTTTATTAAGCTCAAAGGATAAAGTAATGGCGAATAAAGCCCTGTTTCAAGCAACTTGAGAAAAACCAAGCCTGCATCAGATTCGAATGCCGATTCCTTTCATTGATGGACTTCTATAGATCCTCACGATTAGTCATAGTAGCATATACCTTATGTCATTTCGATATTGTCATAGATTGCTCATCGCAAATCTGGAGAGATGATATCAAATTAATGTAAAAGTGTATTATGTCAACCAATGAGCGTATCATGAGTTATAACATGTTAAATCTTTATTATTTTTTCGTCTATTTTTTTAGCTACTTGCAAATTAACACTGAAATAATTGCATTGAAAAACTAAAGTTAGTGTACTATCATCATAACTAAAATTAATATAACTATTTCCATAATTTTTATAATTATTTATTTTTTCATAAATTATTAAAAATATAATTCATACTAATGTTATGTAGGTCTATATAGTTAATCATAAATACTAACACAAATCATAATGAAATATCATATAGCTGTTATTGTTATTATGTTTTTTTAACTTTTTCCGTCCTGTGGACACTAAGAAGTCTAACATCTATTACGAATAAGTTATTTATATAATGCAATGTGAAATTTTTTTAAATTTTCCATTCTGAAAACACTAGGCCTGGTGGTCAAGGCGATAAAGACGTCAACTTACTGTTTTAGGAGATTGGGAATCGAATATGGGCAGAGAACCCCAGGAATTTATTTATGGGCACTATGTCTCGGATTGTTGGACCCGTGGGACTGGTTGCATCTACAATGAGTATGATTAAAATGGTCTTTTAGTATCCACAGGGAAAAAAGAAATAAAAATTTATAAACTCTGCAGGCACATAAGAATTTTTTATATTCATCATAAAACCTGCAATGGTATGGCTTTTGAGGAACAGGATCCGACAAATCCTAATCGATTCACCCGATTTGTGAGCCGATCCAAATTTGAACCCGGGCTTTTGAACCAGGTTGATTGATGGTATGGCCATCAAGAGGAAGAGCTGGGAATTTTTCTCCAGGTCCGGAGAAATTTAGAGGTTTATAGTGACTCCTATCCTTATAAAATTAATGTTACTTTTATCAACAAAAAATTTAAGACTGCTTTTCATTAATAAAGGAACATTCTAATATATCATTTGTTTAAAAAAACAAAAAACAAAAAAGTAAAGGGACCACGAAGAGGCAAAGGAGCCCACTCTATCCAGAACCCCATATAAATTTTCGACAACTCTGATTGATGGAATAAGACAACGCAACGCGTGGACGATCTGTTAAGAGAATGTCTCCCGGGAGAAGTTTCTAAGAAAAACTGGCGCCCGTTTAGCTGTTAGACACGCGAGGAAAAAACCAGAAAAGTGCCAAGTTGCCAGCCTATTGACCAGGCGAAAACTCCGGACCCTTCAGAGATGCAAGCGGGTGTGCCTTTATTACCTTGACCGTTCGGCCGTCAAATATGATATATCTTACAACGAATATGTTTATACTGTGTAGAAAAAAATTATATATATATAGTATATTTATTTATAATTGCTGCATTAAATGTAAATAATTTTGATTAATGGAATTACATCTATCGCTGTATTTGTCACCCACAATCAGAGCAATCAGAAATAAATTAACAATTAATTTAACATATTTTAATTGGCCTAAGATTGATTTTACTTTATACAATTGCCACCTTATTTTTCCAGTAGCAAAGTAAAATCAGCTAAAAAAAATGTACATAAATGATTTGACAAACACACTACTATTACTTTCTGAAATAAAGTGCTTTGTTATCCAAAAGCAAAGCAACACACGAATGTATTTTCTGTAAAATTCTACTTAAAATTTAATGTCTAGAATTTTAAAGTATACTTATTTTGAATAGTGCATACCGGGGCTACATATTCCAGGAGTCCATAGGTTTTCATTTATAGTATATCGGGTTACTGAAGAAAAATCTTCACAGATGAGTTTGTTTTGACAATTTAACGAGTCAGATTTTTTCCTAGTTCTGTTCAACTAAACAAAAATTGAGAGGAAGAAAACGATAACTGTAACATTTATAAATAAATTCAATATAATTATACGAAAGAAGAAACAATAAAGGTTATCCAATTTGCTCACGTGATATGAGAAACCAATTAAATTCAAATAGTATCGATCTTCATTCTGTCGCTAATACAGTCGACATATAAATTCTGAACGTTGACGGCGAAGAATTTTCTTGAATACTTTTAAATATGATCGGTAACAAAGCCAAATTAGAAGAAGACGGTAAAGCAATTACAAATAGCGATTCAAATATACGTTTATCGAGAAAGCAGAGCAGAGGTAATTTGGAAGAAGCGAAACAAAACAAGAAAATTACTCGTTTGATGACCGTTTTCGCTTACGTTTTCTTCGTATCTTTGGCTGCAATTGTTTTATCTTTATATTATATATTCATTTGGAGTCCTAATATGCAAATTAACAATGTGAGTAATTCGGAAAATTATTATTTTCACGCTCAACCACTCGTGTTTCCATCTCCGGATCCTTGGAGATATTCCTCATTTCCTTCGACTCCCGAAGAGAAGATATTGGATTCAACAGAGAACCTTACTATATTGGATAGTAACTATAATATAAATGATGGGAAACGTGATTCAGAAAATAATACAGATAATTACGAATCAGAAAATAAGACGGATAATCAAAATTAATTATTATTTAGGTAAGTTTTCGCAGATAGAAACACACACTTTTAGTCGTATTAATTTTAAAAATTTCAATTGTTTAGTGTCTTTTCTTTATTCTAAATAGTTTTTAAAATATATTTGATAAAAATATTGTAAATTATATTATTATTTTATTTTATTTTTCGTAATTCTATTAGTGAGATTTTTAGAAAGTTGCGATATAACTTACCATTTGACAGGTTTCTAATGCTTGCACTTTATAAGCTTCCTTTATTCTATAAAAAATAAATTATTTAATATTAAATAATGTTTGTATTTTATTTACATTTTTGTAAAAATTATTTATTACATTTTCAATTTTTTTTTTTCAGATGTTTTCTGAAGATTAAGCAAGATTTACTGTTTATGGAAATTTGAAATTATAATATTTTAATTGTTAAACTTTTTAGAATAAAATATTTCTAAATTATGATTAAATAAACTTTTTGTGCTTAAAATCCAACGATTACAATAAAATTGTTGGAGTATATTTTAAGAATAAATTTAAACACAAATAGACGTTAGATGATCAATTGGATATGCCTCGTGCTTCCAACAGAAGGGTCCGGATTCGATTTTCGTTCTGATTTCTCTCTCTGGTGATTTCCTTTATTATTCGCAGATAGAAAGGCTTAATTATAAGAAAATATTGTTTATTTTAGTTTAAAATATATTAGTATTTTTTCGAAATTTGAGCAAGCAATATGTACTTTTCATTGTAGAAAAATTATTATAAAATGTAATTATTTCCAGCACTGCAACTACAGCAAGTAAATGCTATAGTATTATCGGATGGGAGCACCGGGAGCACCGTCACGTTATTTATTAATTTAACTCATTTCTCCGCCGGTTGGCACACTTAAACCTTCCACACTTTTCTTTTTTTATGAAGAAATACGTTGTTTCTCGATATCTTTTTTTGTTTACGTCAAGTGTGCGAGCTTGTTACTCGTCCAACAGGTTATGGACCCAGATCGATGCTTTTAAATTTTGGTGGTTAAATGTCGAATTGGGGAGAGAATAGGGATCGTGTGTCATACATATCTCGAGTAGGGTCGGACTTAATTACGATTTTATTCGTTATTAGTGTTTACAATTTTTTAAAAATAAAACCCATACCTACTGTCGAAATTAAGTTTATTGCCATTTTATAATAGTTAAAAAGTTTTTAAATAAAATATCATAACAGATGGCGCCATCAAATATTACTTGGAAAGTTAAGCAACACAACTCATTGCTAGACTTTTTTTAAGGATTTTTCCGCTGATACTTGAACAATTCCGCTGATGAATTGTTCAAGTAATTATAATTCTGCTTTGAACACATATCCACTGCAAGGTGTGTTTAAAGTTCAACGTGGAAATAATTTCCTCCCGTAGTGCATTATTCTGTGGCGAAATGTTTTATCAGTAGAACACCGGTCGAAATTTTATAAGTTGCCTTTGTGAGGATCCGAACGAGGGTCGACTGAGGGGTCCGAATGAAGGGTATCGATCAGGGCCGGCCTTCTCTATGAAGGGGCCCGGGTGCATGAAACTATTTGGGCCCTACATTTTTTGTAAAATAAAAAAAAATTACAAACACGAACATATATTAATGCATGTTTATTTAAAGCGTGATTTTGTTCTCGCTAATACACGAATTACTTCAGGAAAATTATAATTTTTGAAATTTCTTTTTCGATGCTTAATATAGCAAATGCATTAAGCCTTCTGCACACACGCTGGATCGAAGATAATTCTTTATTAATTTTAATTTGCCGAAAGAGCGCTCAGCACTCGCTATAGTAACTGGCAACGCAAAGAAAAGTTTTAATACATTTAGAAATAACTCATTATAATTATTATTTAGTATGTGTTGTGCGTTATTTACATCCCTTTCATTCAAAATCAAATCCCGTAGCAAACCAATTTCCTGGATTAGGTTTTCATCTATATCTTTGTTATAATGGAACATTTTTCTAATTCATGTTTTTCTAAGGTTTTCATATCAGTGATTAATTTGAAATCAGAAATAATATTTGGTATACTTTTAAATCTATCTTCTATTTGTACAATAACAGTATCAATTAGAGTGTTAAAAAAATAACATCTAAAATTCCTCTACCGGGTTTTCTAAAGCTTCACCTGCTATTTCGGAATA